GATGATCGTCAGTTCTTATCCACACACACCCAATTTTAAAGTCTTTCGCTTTCAACTAGAGTGCAGGTGTGTCAAAATACTTTACATTTTATAATATTACAGGTGCATTGAACCAGTTCTTTACTAAAACAGTGACTTGGTATTTCTGAATATTCTCCACAGGCTTTTAAATGACAATTACTTTCTAAAAATATCCATGAAGTGAGAAAAGGAAGAGGCAAAGATAAATTTTTCTAAAGAAAAACTATGGGTGTAAGGAAAAATATTTTTCCCTCTTGGAATGAAACATGCCATCAAAAGAACCTTAAAAGTTTAGGTATTATTTGTCATTTCAATGAAGTCTGAGTCCTTCAAACAATATGAACACTTTACAGTTTGGGGGGGGGGGGGGGATGTTTACAAGGGATTCACCTAAAGCACTGTTTTGCCATGAGCCTTCATAGCCTTGAAGGTTTTATAACTGGCGTATGTTTGTTTCTTATAGTTTTGTAAAAAAAAAAAAAATTTTTTTCCAAGGAAAGAACTGTACTCATACAAAATTTACCAAGTCAAGTTTTAAGGAAGCAGTTTTGTTTTTCTTTCTGCTTGCTCATAATCCCACTATAAAAAGACAAGTACTAGGTTGTTTTAGTACCAATTTTAGAATAAACAGTTTAAGAGGTAGGTGTGTGGATTAAAATCAGCCACCTCACTGCCCCATCTTCAAATAATACAAGGGAAATCACACTGTTCCTTAGAAAAGGATATACAGACAGGGAAGACTAGAAACATAGGAGAGAATAAGAATCTTTTAAAGAATAAACAGCATCACATGTTCCTGTGCCATTTTTGTGTAAGGTTGTGTTAATCTTATATATATTGTTTGGCCTGGGTGAAGGAATGGCAAAAGTGAGCATGAAAAACACATTCTGATAAGGGGCATCAGACTGATTTCATTTATATGACTGATGTTTACAGTTACCATTTTAATAAATTCAACATAAAGAGTGGATAGAATTTTATACAAAAATGCTAACAAAACAAAATAAGCACAGTAGAAGTTCAGGTTCCTAAGATTACTCAGGGAATAACAATATCTTTAAAGGAGAATAGCAGATAACATTTAGGTGCTAAACAAAAATCACACAATGAATAGTTAAAAAAAACACCAGTATTTTCAAATGATATTTTCAACTAAAATCTGAAAGTATTTTTTTTAAAAAAGAAGAGAAAATGAAAATGGGCAACCACAGTAAAGTAAAAAAACCTACAGTCCAGAAGGTGAAGATCTGAATTCTAAACCTAATTTTCTAATGAGCCAAGAGATGAAAAATTAAGAGACTGAAAAATAGAAGGCTCTACTATGACTATTCAATGATGTCAAATGCAAAATTAACTCCTAATTTCTTTCCACCCTTCTCTAATAAGTTTCCGCTACTCAAATACACGTGACATCTAGAAATAGGCAATCATGAAATAAAAGTGAATTAAAATTATAAATTCATAGTTAACCAAAGAAACAAAATAAAATTTTAAGTAAGTCCCCTGTCCTGGATTAAAAAGAACTGTTAAATTTACATCTTAAATATAACACTAGTTTACCAAGAGAGAATCCCTTATACCATCCTCACTAAGCATTACAGATCATTCTGTGTATGCTGACAACTGCACTGGTTGGGTAATAACAGATCATTACAGAACATTTTTCTTCTAAGGTTTTTGAGTCTCACTGTGATGGTCCCAATAATCAAGAATCTTATACAGAAATAAATTTTAAATGATCTGTGTGTGTGTGTGTGTTTGTGGGGGGGTTACTGGGGATTAAACCCAGGGCCATGTGCATGCAAGGCAAGCACTCTACCAACTGAGCTATATCTGCAGCCCTAAAATGACCCATTTTTGAAAGCAGATTGTTTTTAAAAAGTAGGAAAACACAATAAAGTAACATTTAAATATTAAACTTAAATTTCAATTTCAATTACTCTTAATTAATAAAAGCATTTTCCCCTAATATTCTTTAAAATATCACTATGGGTCTCATCTAAATCAGCAATAAATATTATTAATCTCTTAATTATACCTCACATGGGAAAAACTAGTTTATATTCCCAAGTCCTCAAGAATATACTAAAATAGACACCAAGCAGATTAAAGATATTGTGTCCATATATAACTAAAAAAAATTATTAAAAAAAAGTTGGGGAGGGGAATTTTTTCACTGAATTCCTTCACATATGCATTTTTTTTTTAAATTTTTTATTGTGGGTTGTTCAAAACATTACAAATTTCTTGACATATCATATTCCACACTTTGATTCAAGTGGGTTATGAACTCCCACCTTCACCCCATACACAGATTGCAGAATCACATCAGTTACACATCCATTGATTTACATATTGCCATACTAGTGTCTGTTGTGCTCCGCTGCCTTTCCCATCCTCCCCCCTCCCCCCTCCCCACCTCTCCCCTCCCCTCCCCTCCTCTCTCTCTACCCCCTCCACTGTATAACCCTGAGGGTCTCCTTCCATTACCATGCAATTTCCCTTCTCTCTCCCTTTCCCTCCCACCTCTCATATCTTGGAATTTTATAAATGTATTACCTATTAGATTAACAAATATAATAAGCTTCAAAAACAAGATAAATAAGACTTTACCAAAATTAAATATTTTTACTCTGCAAAAGAAAAAAGATAAGTCATAGATAAAAACAAAACCTACATAGTTCTGATAAAGAACTTTTTATCCAGAAAATGTAAATAACTCTTAAAATTCAGTAATAAAACAAATGAAAAATTGAGAAAAGGACTTGAACAGACATTTCATCAGAGATTATTTATAAACACATAAAAACACACTGAACACAAAATGGATGAAACTCAAAAAATTATGCTAAGTTGCAAAAGACAACATACTTTACAGTTCCATTTATATGAAATATCCAAAAAAGGTAAATTTTAGAAACAGAAAGCAGACCAATGGTAAACACAGCACAGATTAGCTGAAAATAAGTACAAGAGAACATTTGGAGGACATGGAAGTGTTCTAAAACCACTATGTGGCAATGCTTATACAACTCCTGTATTGTATTAAAAAAGTCACTGAAAAAAAAAAGTCACTGAACTGAACCCCAAAATAATAATTTAACTGAAATAGTGAAAAGTCACTCAGTAGTAAAGATGAAATAATATTCTAAGGTATTATTATAACCAACTTAAAGTTAACCACTACATGATTTAATTATAAATAATGTTTTGAGGTGATAATAGTACAGAGAAAGAATTCTAGTATTAGAGATATGAGGCTGTGTATGAGAGACCATCAGAAACACTGGATATATAATCCAGTAAAAATGTAACACAAATGTTAAACAAATGTTATATTAACACTTCTAAATATAACATTAGTGAAAACAAATGTTATATTAACACTTCTAAAAAATATATTCATAATTTTTAAAATGAATGAATTCTCTGCTATCTCAATAATTTTCAGGAGTGATCATGGGTCTATTTCTTTAATCCCTTCTGGTAGGAATTCTGATGGCATTTCAGACACTCCTTCTTTCTCCTTCCCATTGAGCCTTTTTAAGAAGTGCTAAATATATATAGAAATGCCAGTTAGGTAAGCATACTTGACTAAGAAAAAATGTTACACTCACAGAGAGGATGACATATACTGAACTCCACATTTTTTTGTAGGGTCATTTAGGTGGAATATCAACATTCTCCCCAATCCCACTGTTTCTAATTCTACTTCTTACAAAAACCACTTACTTAGATTCTTGAACTGTGTGGACAGTTAAACAACATGTAAATAACGTTGCAATCCCCCAACTTAAAATATATTCATAATAAAAGCAACATTTTCAAGTATTACTTTTATATTTACTAAAATATTATCTCTTTCCAACTAGGATTTAAAGTATCAAGTTACACTTTCTTTGCTATATAAAAAATAAAATTTCATGCAGAATAGGCTACTGAAAATTTCTCTCTTTAAAATAAATGTAATTAGGGCGCGGGTTGTGGCTCAGTGGTAAAGCACATGCATGAGGCACTAGGTTCGATCCCTGGCACCACATAAAAAACAAACAAATAAATAAATGTAATCAATAGCGAATGTAGTAATGATTAGGTGAAGGAAAAAAGGAAAAAAAAAAAAAAAAACCCAAACCAGAATATCATGTATAAAATGAGCATTCTTAATGTCAAAATCCAAAATGTTTTGAGCAAGAATATTAACAGCACAAGTTGAAAATTTCATACCTGCCCATATGTAACAGTCAGTCAAAATACATGCACACTAAAAATATCATAAAAAACTGCCTTCAGGCTGTTTATAGGAATAATAATGAAACATAAATGAATTTGATGTTTAATCATAGGTTTTATCCTCAAGATATCTCATTATATTTATGCAAATATCTAAAATCAGGGGGGAAAATCCAAACACTTTTGGTCCCAATCATTTCAGATAAGGGATATTAAACTCTATGTGTGTGTGTATTTTTCCCCCCTTTCAAATCTACCAGAACTCTTTTAAAGACTAGTAGCATCAGAGATGTGGTAAGAGGGCAATTTTAAAACAATGTATTTTATTTTGCTAAAGAGAATCAGTGGTTTCACTGCAAGTGTTTCTGTTACAAGCAATATCCCCCTACAAGATACTGAAAATTTCTTCCTGAAATAACTAGTGTTAAGTATGCTTATTTTACTTCATTAAAAAAGGGATTTATCAGAGCATGGAGGAACATGCTTGTAATCCCAGAGGCTTGGGAAGCTGAGAAAGGAGGATCAAAAGTTCAAAGCCAGCCTCAGTAACTTAGGGAGGCCCTAGGAAACTCTATGAGAACCTGTCTCAAAATAAAAAACAAAATGGGCTGGGGATGTGGTTCAGTGGGTAAACCCCTCTGCATTCAATCTCTGGCACCAAAATAAACTAACAAACAAATTAATTAATTAAAATTTAAAGAGAATTTAAAACAGAAAATGAAGTGTTTTAATGTTGCTAATTACATTACCTTCAGGAGCAATTGCAGAAGGACAAACTTCTTTGAGGAGATCGCCCAGTGTATGTGGCTGTCCATCTGCAGCCACAGGACGAAACAGTTTCTGAATGAAAGGGCGTTCAGTCGTTGTCTATTTGAAAAAGGAAAAGATAATCCAAGCAATTAAATTTTTGCTGCTACTCCCTATAAATTAAAAGATCTTAAATTTTATGTTGCTACTAGGTATCTTGTAATATGGTGTAACCAGAAGTACACAAAATCACAGATATGGTATCACTGGGAAACATGTTTAATGATATAAATTTATATAAATCTAATGCTCCAGAAATAATCAGGCAAATTCAGGAAATGGAACATTCTAAAAACAACAGGCCAAAAAAATAAGGCATTAAAAACCAAAACAATATAAAACAAGGACAAAAGTGGTTTGTGTCCTTGACTTTTAAAAAAGGAGTATAATAAGAGATAATGCAAAAATAAAGCCTGGCTGAATACTACACTGGTGAAGAAAATTTCTAAAAAATGCATTATAAAAGAATTTTTTGATAACTGGGGAATCATACCAAATACCAAAATTCTATAGTATAATAATGATAATCACTGTCATAATATATTGCTAATCATTCCAGTTTTATCCATGTTTAAAATGGTTTTGTTTTCCTCAACTATCTCGGTGACAATGAAGGCCTCATCATGACCCAGAGTACCGAGGCTCTGGAATTGGTCAGGGATTATGAAGAACACTGTTGTTTATGAGCTCTATGATCTCCCACCAAGTTCCTTTCACTGTTATTTTGCAACATTCCATATTTCTTGAGTTTGATGTAGGAATAAGTAAGGAATCGTGTCAAGCACAAAATAAATATTTTTTAAAAATCCCTTTCCTCTTTACTGTTACTTACTTTTAAAATGGTAAGTTTAAATTTTAAGTTTCCTGGAGTAAAACAATCATAAAAATACAAAGGTTTGTGTGTGTGGTTTTTTTTTTTTTTTGGTTTGGTTTGGTTTAATCAAAGAGATACATCTCAATCTCTCTGACATAACTGTTATAGATTTAGCTTAAAAAAAAAACAACTAGCTTTACGTGCTGACATAAACTAAAAATCTTGATAATATGCAATGATTATACTTCAATTCACTTCATTAACTTAAGTCTATAGGGATTAAAAAATATGATTGATAGTTTTAGTTTAAGAAGTCTATAGTTTTTGATACAAGTTGAAACCAAGAATAATATGTTCAGGCAACTGATTAATTATATAATAAAGATAATAAGGGTTAGGGGAGTTGAGAGGAAAAAGAAATGAATAGAGAAACACAGTAATAATTTAAAATATCTACAGTCCACTTTGAATTTCTATCTTCCAGACCATGAAGATGCTTTAAAGACTTTTTAGCAAAGGAAGTGGCATGATGAAAGAGACTTTTTCTGAAGGCTCATGAAAGCAGTGCTGTGGATGATGATTCGGTTAAGAGGTAAAATCAGAATGACTGGTGAGAGGCCAGCTGATAAAGCAAGTCCATGTGATGACAACCAGGACTGAGACAATGGGAAAGACAGTGGCAGAAATGCATGCCAATTTAAAGAAAAAAAAAAAAAACAAAACTCAGATGCATCTCTTTTAGTCCAACCTGAAAGAAAAACAAAGCCAAAGAAATCTCTTCAAAAAGTTGAAAATCTCATACAAATCCTAATTAGTTACAGAATAGTGAGATGGCTTGGCTATGATAAAATTGCCTGAAAACAATATACTTGACAGGAAAGGTTAAGTAATCTTAGTTACATATTAAAAAACAGACACTGCCCTCTAACCCTGCTGTTTCTCTGTATCTTTCCTTTTCCCACTCTCTCCTAAACCTGAGCAGTTATTATAAAGGTGTAACCTTCAACAAATTTTTAAAACGAAGTATTTTGTTTGGTAGAGGAAAAGCTCTGTAGACGGTAACCAAAAATACTTTCGGCAAAATGCTGCTTGCATTTATTACAGAATAAATGTAAGGAAAAGCCTATTCCAAATATAGTCAAGTAGGTTAACCAACATTAATGTGGGTAACAACGTATGTTTATTTATTCTAATAAGCTGGAAATTAGAAAATGCATTGACAATAAGAGGCACAACCATATTACAAACTTATAAATCATATAGATCAAGTTCAAGTCTTATATGAAACATAAGGCATAAACTCCAATAAAAAAATGCAAGGCTCTTTCTTCTTAAGAGAATAAAAACTTAAAACCAGAAAGAACTGGCTTCAAGCCCTGTTTCTATCATTTGTTACGAAAACATGAGCACAATTACTTAATTTTTCTAAATCTCCATTTCCTTAACTGAAAAAATATAAATAATCACACACATATGAAAACAAATAAGATGTGAACTGAAGGAGATGACGCCTACACTGTAGTTTTTTAAATAATAAAATGCACAACATGATCATGGCACATAGTAATTTGGAACTTAAAACACCAATGACCAGCTAGGCGCGGTGGTGCATGCCTGTACTCCCAGCAGCTCCAGAGAATGAGACAGAAGGATGGTGAGTTCACAGCCATCCTCAGCAAATTTGAGGTGCTAGGCAACTCAATGAGACCTTGTCTCTAAATAAAATACAAAATAGGGCTGGGGATGTGGCTCAGTGGTCCAGTGCCCCTGTTCAATCCCCAGTACCACCACCACAAAAAAAAAACATACCACCAACCAACCAATGACCAGGACCACAAGTTTAGAATGCTGCAGTGCACATTTGATTTACTATTATCCAAACTTAGTATATTTAGTTTTTATTTCCTTTTACCTTCAATTTCTTTTCTTAAAATTCATTTATATGGATACCAAAAACCCCAGAGTGATAAAATTCAGAAGCTTATATTTTAATATTTATTTATATGCAAGAGGGCAAAGGCAAAGTCATTTTGGGACTTTGATTCAAAGCTAGTCTTGAACTTAACCCCAAAGTCATGACCCATGAAAGAAAATACCAATAAGCTAGACTTCATTTAAAAAAATAAACAAACTTTTCCTCTATAAAAAGGCCTAAAGAAGATTAAAAGACAAGCTACAGCCAGTCATAGTGTACATGCTATAATCCTAGTTACTAGGGAGGCTGAGGATGGAAGATGGCTAGTTTGAAGGCAGCCTGGGCAACTAAGCAAGACCCTGACAAAAATTTAAAAAAATAATTTATAAAATATTTAAAAAGGTCAAGCCTCAGACTGACAGGAGAAAATCTACAAATCACATTTCCAACACAGGTCTTAAACCCACAGTATACAAAACATGCTAAAAATTCAATAGTTAAAACAACAACAATCTAATTAGAGCATGGGCAAAAGACACAAGCAGAAATTTTACTAGAGGATATAGAGATAGTAAATAAGCACATGAAAATATGTTTAACACATGAGTGTCTGCTAAGAAAATGCAAATAAAACCACAATGTATCTGATATTACCACACACCTACAAGAGTTATCTAAAACAAAAATTAGTGGATGTTAACAGTATATACCTCAAAGGTTCTTGGTAAAGAGTAAGGCAAGGCATTATTTAAACAATGTCTAGCATATACTAAATGTTCAATATACAGTTACTGTTTTTATTAAACATGACTTAACATTCAATGGAAGCTTATTCAATATTAATATGGACTATGTACTAACTTATAAAACAAAAGGATGATTACAAAACATATTCATCATGTAGTTAACTCTTAATATGTTACCATTAGTGCTAATTGTTGTTTTGCTCATATATATCTTATCATGATATAGTATGAATTAGAAATGTTGGTTTATTCAAAATGACAATTTGCAAAAAAAGAGAGAATTTACAGCAAGAAAGGTACATAAAAGGCTCACTGACTAAGGAGTTAGAGACCATACAGAGAAGAAAGAATTCTAATACTATTAGAGAGCAACGGGAGACTGAATTCACTGAAACAGTGAAAACTGGTTATAAGAGAGAAAAAAAACTTTAAAAAATCAGATAATGACAAATTTTATATTCTGCTTTAAAGTTCTTTGAAACAGGCTGATTGATTTACTAAATGTATAAGTAAAATTTATTTGATAATTTAGAAGGGTTGCTTAAATATATCAGAGGATTTTATTTGTAAGATTTGCAGGTATATTTTAAAAAAAGTCAGCTATTAAACTATAACTGGAATCAGCCAGTGTCTCAGAATGTAATTAGATTGATATGCAACTAGTACGCTGTGGTAAGAATTAAATCTAGAAAAGGAATGAGTTACAAAAATGGCTATATTATATATTATCAGTAGCATAAAATCAATGGAAAGGCATTAGAAAAACTAGGCTTTATAATTGAAAATCCCATCAAAACTGGACTCACATCCAGTGAGTATATTTTCACTTGACACCATTATTTAAAATAATGTACCTAAGTAATAATAAGGCAAATTTACTATTAATGTTTTGCGGATCTTTAGCCAAGAAAAAAAAAGAAAGAAAGAAAGAAAAGAAAAATGAAAACAACAAAAACTCTAATATAATAGGTAACTTCAGTGAATCACACACAGTTGCTAACATTCCATTAAGAGTCTTTACAGATACTGCAATATAAACAAAACTTCAATAAAGAATGTATTTGTAGGGCTGGGGTTCTACCTCAAGTAATAGAACACTTGCCTAGCATGCATGAAGTACAGGGTTTGAGTGCAAGCACCACCCCCTACACATGAATATTGTTTCCTAATTTTGTTTAAAAATACAGTGGTAACGGATAACAGAAATACAGCAAGTGCTGAGAGAATGTTGTAAAGCTAGAGTACAAAATTTAACTCTGAAGGCTGGGAGTACAGCTCAGAGACCCTGGGTTCCATCTCCAGCACCCCCCAAAATAAAACAAACAACTCTGGACTTCTCAGGCAATAAAAGCAAATCAAGAAACAAATTATAACCAGTTATATAACTTTGTTTTCTAAGAATGCAAGACATACCAGTAGGTATAAAGTAAAATACACTAACTGTAGTAGAATGTAAAAATAACAGTGAGGAATTTCTAAAAAGAGGATGAGAAGAAAGGAGGCAATATAGAGCAATCTTCAAGCTACAACTTGAAACTGATTTTTTTTTTTTTTAATGGAGAAAGACTTACACCATTTCAGTACT